GTCCGCTGGATGGCGGTGCTTCTATCATCATCATCATCAGCAGCAGCAGCCTGACTACGTCCACTGCAGGACAAAGGACTCTCCCATGTACCGCCAGTTAACCCGGTCCTGTGCTTGCTGCTGCCAATTTATACCCGCAAACTTCTTAATCTTATCTGCCCACCTAACCTTCTGTCTCCCCCTAACCCGCTTGCCTTCTCTTGGAATCCAGTTAGTTACCCTTAACGACCAGCGGTTATCCTGTCTACGCGCTACATGCCCTGCCCATGTCCATTTCCTCTTTTTTATTTCAACTATGATATCCTTAACCCCCGTTTGTCCCCTAATCCACTCTGCTATCTTCTTGTCTCTTAAGGTTACACCTACCATTTTTTTTCCATTGCTCGCTGCGTCGTCCTCAACTTAAGCTGAACCCTCTTTGTAAGTCTCCAGGTTTCTGCTCCGTAGCTAAGTACCGGCAAGATACAGCTGTTATAAACCTTCCTCTTGAGGGATAGTGGCAATCTACCTGTCATAATTTGAGAGTGCTTGCCGAATGTGCCCCACCCCATTCTTATTCTTCTAGTTACTTCAATCTCGTGGTTAGGCTCTGCGGTTATTACCTGCCCTAAATAGACATAGTCTTCTACAACTTCAAGTGCACTATCACCTATCTCGAAGCGCTGCTCCTTTCCGAGGTTGTTGTACATTACTTTCGTTTTCTGCACATTAATTTTAAGACCCACCTTTCTGCTCTCCTTGTCTAACTCCGTAATCATGAGTTGCAATTCGTCCCCTGCGTTACTCAGCAATGCAATGTCATCGGCGAAGCGCAAGTTACTAAGGTATTCTCCATTAACTCTTATTTCTAACTGTTCCCATTCTAGGCTTCTGAAAACCTCCTGTAAGCACGCGGTAAATAGCATTGGGGAGATTGTGTCCCCCTGCCTTACACCCTTTTTGATTGGTATTCTGTTGCTTTCTTTATGAAGCACTATGGTAGCAGTTGATCCCCTGTAGATTTCTTCCAGAATGTTTATATATACTTCATCTACGCCCTGATTCCGCAGTGTCTGCATGATGGCTGATATTTCTACTGAATCAAACGCCTTCTCGTAATCTATGAAGGCTATGTATAGTGGTTGGTTATACTCAGAGCATTTCTCTATTACCTGATTGATAGTATGAATGTGGTCAATTGTTGAGTAGCCTGTTCTAAATCCTGCTTGTTCCTTTGGTTGATTGAATTCTAATGTTTTCTTTACTCTGTTAGCAATTACGTTTGTAAATAGCTTGTATACTACAGAGAGCAAGCTGATCGGCCTGTAATTCTTCAAGTCCTTGTCATCTCCTTTCTTATGTATTAAGATGATGTTAGCGTTCTTGCAAGACTCTGGTACCCTTCCCGTCAGGAGACACCTCGTAAACAGGGTGGCTAGTTTTTCTAACACAATCTGTCCTCCATCTTTCAGCAGGTCTGATGTTACCTGATCCCCACCAGCAGCTTTGCCTCTTTGCATGCTCTCCAAAGCTTTTCTGACTTCTTCTATCATTACTGGTTGGGTGTCATCTGGGGTGCTTCTATATGGAGAATATATGATGAAAAGATGCGAGATGGTGGTACTTGGAGTGCTGAATAGATGGACGAACGGACACACAGACAGATGCATGAATGGACGCATGAACGGACGCAGGCGTGGATGCATGGACGAACGCAGGGACGGACGCACGAACAGACGCACGCACGGACGGGTGGATGGACGCATGGACGGTTACACAGACGTACGCAGGAACGGACGGAAGCAAGAACGAATGGACGGACGAATGCTTCGCCCCACTCCCCATCATTCACTCCGTGGATATGCTGCCATTTTTTTTTTTTCGTGTTTCGGCAACGCTGCCAATATGCTCCTCAAAATCTACTGTGTCAAGTTTCAGGCTCTCTGATGACGCAGTTCAATTATTTTTCACTGAAAAAAAAAAGATTATGACGTACGCTTCTATGACGTCACGCCGAGTTGGTGCAGAAACTTCCAAGACAGTTCCTCCACTTCTTGCATTGTAGTTTGTCCTTATTAAGTGTCTTGTTGAAACAAGGGAGATGATTCTGGTATTGCAGTAGTTTAGTGCATTAATGCAAATGAATCTACACATTTTCTGTTTGTCCATTCAGGAATGTCTTCCAAATTCTGCGCTAATTCTTCTACAGCTCCAAAAGTGGATCGCACCTAATTCGCAATATTGTACCTACAGTTGCGTTAATTTTTTCTTTTTTGACGTGTGTGACTGTTGTGAGCAAGTAGCGTGAATAGATGCATTGCCGCATAGGCGCGAGTATAGGCCTCTGGTTCAAGGTGGTTCCCAAGTTTCATCGCAATTTAGCAAGACCGACAGCTGGGCTAGTTGCTATTATTCCATATTATTTAATGTAACAAGAATCTCACGCGGCTACGATTGTGCTGGTATTCTGGGTCAATTTTTTGTATGTTTCCCTTCCATGTTTTTTAAAATAAAGTTGTCAGTTGCGAGAAAGTGTCACAAGTCTCTACTTATTGTCTTTTAGTTTGCTCTGCTTTAAATAATATGGACTCACCGAAATGCGTCATAGCGCTAACACACATGGGCGAGGAAGAGACAACAGGACTGGCGCAATTTAGTAGCAGTGTAAATAGGTCCCTACACAAGAAGTCCAATTATCGCGCATGAAAACTGACACATGATAGCATTCGTCCTGCCATCTCTGCTTGGTCCGTGCCACCGCTACGCCACATTTCGAAGCAAATAACCAACTAGTCCAAAAAGGCAGCTTGACAAGCTCTTTCGAAGCGACCCATTTTCTCCACTCCTTTTGATCATGCGCGAAAAAAGACGAGTTATGCCATAGAAAACGGCCTACACAATATACGCAAAAAATGAAAATGAATCAATGACGCACTTCTCACGTTGGTTTGCTTGTTATCCGCGGTTTGAAGGCGGTTTGAAGGCGGTATAGAGGAAAGTGAAGAGTCCTAGGAATCAGTGGCGCACCTAATCCATGCCTCTCTCCTCTGAAAATTTCTTCGTCATGACGTACAGAGCAAAAGCTACCATTAAAAAGATGTTCCCTCCCTCCCCACAAAATCGAGGAAGTGCCTCACTCCCCCTGCGAAAAAAGAAAATTTCTGTCAATGTCCCTGCAGAGAATGGAACATGGGCACGCACAGTCGTGAACATAGTCACCCCCCTCCCCTTCCCCTAATCTTGTCTCGTATTATTCCATTCGATCATTGAAATGCAACATTCTTGGCAGGAGTGTCCCACTGCTGCCTTCGTGAGATGCGAGTACAGTGTTCGGCGTGTGAACGTACTTGGTTTGCTCTGTTCCTCGCCCATTCGTGTGATCTTGAGTTTCTCGGCTCGTTCCTCCAGCTGCCGCCGCTCTTCATTCTCCTGCGGTATGAAATAGACATCACAAAATCAAGACAATTACTTTTATCTTGTAGTCATTCCTACGAATGAAACATGAAAATGCAAGAAGTGATCCGTTTTCAAACATTTACACAACCCACACTGAAACGAACATCGGAGAGTGATCAAATGACTTGTAGCCGATCAAGTACTTTTCTATGTTTCAATAGTACTGTCATCATTGTAGCCTATTTTCTTGTCAGCGCAAAAAAAAAAAAAATCTCAACCACAGCTTTTAATACACCAGCCAAAGACAACTATATGTCTTCAAACTGTGTTCAGTGAAATATGAGCATAGTGAAAGTCTGAGACTATTCAATTCACTACGCCACGTATTTTTTTACACTCCCAGTTGAACGGCACACAAGGGAAACTTGTGCATGTTTTCTTTAATTTTTGCCGCAAATCGCAGCGAGAATTAGGGCTAATCTTCCTCTGTTTCGCATGCGTTGGTATTCTAGCGCTTTGCTTATCATGCAACGCCATCCATGTTCCAGTGCTCATAAAGATCCTTTATCCTCCCACGTTAGGTGAAAATGCCGCAGCTGGCACCGTGCCAGGAGGCCAGGCGGACACCGGTCAGGGCTAGTATGATACAGTAAAGGCTTTACCCTTAATATGACACGCTCGCTGAGTCACCGCATACCCTTAGATCGACCGGGTCTAGAGACTTTGCTCTACGCCACTATGACTCACCTTTTGCGCCAGCTTTACTTTTTCACAAAAATTGTTGAAGATGTGCAGGCACTCTTCGACTGAGAAGCGGCTCTCCTCCTCGCAAAAGTGCTCAGCAAGCCGTCGTGAGAGCTGTCCAATTTTGCCGAGGCTGGAAGAGAGTTCACCAAGCTGCGCCTTGGCCGTCTGAAAGTGAGGTACGTTGTAAACATGGGATAACGTGCATAGCCAGTGATGCGCTGGGGTAACAGAGAAGCCTGACGAAAGAAAAAAAAATGACGAAGACAGAAACGAAGCAAAAGTAGGACTAGTACAACTCGAATATTATTTAGAGAAAAATGTTTTTTTGATAAATGCAGAAGGTTCGTTAGCCGAACCCTCATAAATATAACCCGTAAGTAACCACTTATCGTGTTTCAACACACCGGCTGGTCTAAATTTTCCGAGGCCTTCACTACAGCGTCCCTCATAATCACAGTATTAAGGACTTATCATGCATATCGTAGTTGTAAAATCTCCTTGGAACATTTTGAATATGCCAACTATACTATATGTCAAATTAACTACATATAGAATGCTCTTGTTATGTCCTCCAGATTCGATTAGTATGTGGATGACAGCAGAATTTGAGAGAAGAACATGTATGCTGTAGAAAGAGAACACCTATTGTTCTGAATTACAAAATGTGCAAACCTAAACTTAAAATTGCTTGTGTATGCCCATTGAGATCGTAAAAAGCAAGAGTCGTGTCTATTTCCTTTTTTTTAAGAACGTTTAATTTCTACTCGAGTTGAAATCAGAGAGGAAAGTATTTTTTCTTTTTTTTGCTACATGTGGTTTAACAACCTAAAAAAAAACAGTTTGTGCTTAACGCAACATTCAAATAGTATGCCTTCTTACTGTGACGAAGGCACCAAAGTGCTGCTTGAACTCATCGTCGCCTTGTGGAAGATGCCTCTCGAGCTTCTCAATGCCTGTAGACAGCTGTTTCAGTTCTGTCCGCATGCCGTCCAGTGACAGCCTGTAAGGAACAAGCGATGAAACCACTGAACGCGGGAGGTTTGTCGCGATATCGTTAACAACAGGTTCTAATAAATACGTTTACAAAACACTTTTTAATACCCAACCTTTAACATAATACAGTAAGAGCCAAGAGAGGAGGAAGAAAAGCATAGAATTTGTGCCACAATGCAAGCGTTTTTGATTATACTTGTTTTGTTTTTCTATTTACCGTAATGTGCGTATTGTGTGTGAATGGGGGGGGGGAGCAAACCATTCTCAAGCTCTCTTGTGTCCCTCTTCTCTTTTTCCTCAATATACCCAATGTCAGCCCGTACCGAATGAGATAACGTGACGGGACAGAGTTATTCTTGTTTTATCTGACGTGAAAAAAGCACGACCGTGGTCTGAACATACGCACACTGCACGTATGATAGAGCAGAAAATTAATACAATGAATGCGTTCGGCGATTAATAGCATGCAGGTTGTTCTAAAAAGATACTGCGGCTGATTAAAGGCAGAAGCATCAGCAGAACTCTCCCTAGGCACAGAAATTAGGATTTTGTCAAGCTCGCCTTGTTTTCATGTGCTCACATAAATCGCATATAAATAATTAGTTACTCAATTCTGTTCATTGCGCTCGTTTGCTCAGGTGACGAAAAGTCGTTTTAATTTCTCTTAGCCATAGCCACCGTCAGCTGTGCACTTTGTACCTGGAACACTCCGTCAGATGTAGGAGATCCTTGGTGAAAGACAGCGTTTCCGCTTGCTCCTTTTCAGCGATTTCGACTAGGAAATGAAGAAGTGTCATGCGTGGCTTGTTAGAGCGTATATCGAGCAGCTTTGGAAGGGTATTCAGCCGGAAACCGAATGCATTTCCCGCGTAGCTGCCCTGGAATGGAGAGGTTGATTCACAATGTCGACAAAGCAATATGCATCAATTTAGAATCTACCTCATCTGACAGCATCATCTAGGTTTCAGTAGCATACTATCCAGAGGCGTAGCCAGAGATACTGTCCCCCCTCTCCCCAAATATTTATCGCTTTGGCATAGAGAGCGAAAAATCACTTTATCAAAGGGTGCCCTCCCCCCGAAAAAAAAATTCTGGCTGTGGCCTTGGTAATATAGGTGCAGTATGGGCTTCAGTTCGTGAGTGAGTTTTGATACAATAGTGATTAATCAGCAGATTATTCACAAACACCGCGCTACAAAACGGCATTGAAGTCGACAGGTAAATGTCTACACTTGAAATATAGCAGTGTGAATGGTTCTTTCGTGCCCCAATGATGTTGCAGTATATCGCGAATTCACGTTTTATGATTTTACAGTGGTTGCGTTAGAGCCTTATCAAATTAAAATACGATAACTTGGTATAATGAAAACGCTAAACATACTTCAATATCAAAGCCAAAAGCATGAACTCGATAGAAAGAATGGTAGAAAATAGAAAGGCACTTTTTGCTCAAGAGTCGTACAGCCTTGATTCTGATAGCGATGTATCAGACTGAACACTTGGTAAGGTTCGTAGTTCAACTGCTCCTTTAAGATGGTGTATCGTTACGCTTACTAATTAAATTAAGCTGCATGACAAGTGTGCACGTAGGCGTAATACAGGCAACAGTCCGTGACCGCGAACATAGCGGCATGACATTGGTGTAACGAATTTAGGGTCATATTGCGTTAGAGCCGTATTAAAGTAAAAATGAAAAGAAAAACACTCGATAACTTGGTATAATGAACAAGGTATACATACTTCAATGTTGCAAAGGTGAGCAAACGCTAGCGTTTCTTCTAGTTTTAGCTTGTTTAAAAAAAACTGAGTTAATGTAACTCCCAAGAAAAGACGCACGAAATAAAAAAAGCTCAAGAAGTCACCATGACTCGAAGACTGGGCAATAATTGCGGATTACCGTAAAATTAAGGCCCGCAGACTTCTGATGTGGAAACGAATCAAACACCAAATGACTATATATATGCTCGTGGGCACTCGTCTTGTATGTCTATATTGAATTTTCTTATTATTATGAGTCCAAACACCGCTACTGATCCAGTGTAAGAGTACGACGTATACAATTGTTAACGTAATGGCCGTAAGCTTTAATTGATGACTTGGCACCAGTCACTCTGCCAGCTATATACAAGGTGATGAAACAGAAGTACTTCGCAACCATACGTGGCTCAAGTCGCTAAGCCTGAACACATAACGAACTCTCCATACTCTGAAATGAGGGGAGAGACAGCGGACGCAGTCATGCGCTGTGATAGCTTCAGATAATGAAATTAAGTAGGTGTGTCACATAATATAAAGCTGCAAACAATGAAAGCTACTTTGTCATCAGACATAGCAGCCTATAGCATGTAAAAATTATTCGCTTCTTCACCGAGTTGATGAAGTTTCCGGTGATGAGAATGAGCTTGAGGAACTCCTTGAGGCTGCGATTGGTGAGAATCTCCTGGCAGACGCCAATGTAGTTGTCCAGCTGTGGCTTCAGCGCATCCACGCTTGGCCTAAACTCCTCCATCTGGAGCATGCCGTCCACGTAAAGGGCGTACAGCCGCAAGTCGCCCAGCATCAGGAAGAACTGCTCCGCATGGCCCAGCTTGCTACGATCGCCAGTGTACGACCTCAGCATGCTCAACTGGAAAAACGATCGGCAAGAGTTCCCACCACTGAGATAGCTTTTCTTCAGACTCCGACAAACTCCAAACGCGTTGCTTCTGCAATTCCTGTTATTTTACAATTTACTGCCTTAATGAAGCCATGCGTACGTATTTCCCATTGAGCCTGTATATCACGCATTTATTTTGTATTATCATTCACCAACAGTGCAACTGCGGTCACAAGAGCAGTTATTACCTTTTTAGAAACAACTGGACTATGTGCGCGGCTAGAAAATGTGTCTCAGCTAGAAAGAACACTACATACTCACCTCCCTATCTCACCATCGTCATTCATTAATCTTTCTTTTCCCCTTTCCCTTCTCCCAGTGTAGAGTAGCAGGCTAGAGCAAGCTATCGCTCAGGCCGACCTCTCTGCCTTTCTGTAAATAAACTTACCTCCTCCTGTATTATCATTTATTGTTATGGTTCTCCGCTCAAGTGTAATGCTCCGCTATATTGCTTAATCATATGGTATGCCTTTGGGACGTTAAACCCCACGTATGATAACCTCTAACGCTTCTTACGAGGCTTCTGGGAAGCTTTATTTAGTTTATTGCGGTAATTTGTAAGATGCAACAGAATGTATATACCATGTACAACAAAGTTTGTAAGATACAATGTATGGTTTCTTCTATGTTATAACGACTTAATTGCATATAGAAGCGATATGATAGACTACTATGATAACTTTAGAATACATGTCATTCCTAAGAAGGCTGAGAACACCCGTTAATTTTGATGGTGTTCGCCGATTGCCGAGGACGAGAAAGCACCACGTAATTTCTTTCGTTGTACGTGTGTCGAGCAGTTATTTGCAAGTTGCCGTGCTCGTAAGTTGTCAAGGCCGCTTCAAAAACTTCCTAGAGCAGCCTGAAAAATGGCAGTGCTCGTCGGAAAATAACATGTGTTTGATGTGGTTTCTGTCTCATAACACCAAAAAGAACAATGCTAATAGCCAACAAGATCGCCATTCGACCACTCAGTATTAGAAGAGGCGTGCAGGTCTGAACTTGTAAGGTTCTAATAATTATTCAGAGCCAGTTAACTCAGGATTGAAATAAGTAAAAAATAATTATTCCTTAGTATTTGCACGGATCTTCATACCGAATTGAATTAACCGTAAAATCGGATCAGCTGGAGTCAAATTGAAAGAAAAAAGTTCGCAAAAAAGGCATGCGGAATTGCAGACGCTGAAATTGTAGAAGACGTACCTCACCCGGGTCTGGTAGTATCTTCTGCAACATGCGCAAGCGTTCCGCGCCGATTTCTTTAGACTTGCAGGAGCGAATCATGTCGACAATTTGTTCGGGTCCGGACTTGAACTGCTTGAGGAAGATGCAGACATTGAGGCTTCTCTTTCCATCCAGGAGGCTGAGCTACGGGAAAAAATCATAACACTATGAAATAGAGGCTAAACAAGGACATAATAAAGTGCCGGCATCATGTTTGCCCTCTTCATACTTTTAGTGGCATTCATCGTGTTCGCCATACTTCCTGTCAAATTCACTCACTATCAGGTGCTGCCGGCTCGTTGTCAAGTGCAGGTTTATTTTTGTGCGTTTCCCTCAGAAATTCACTGGGAGAAACCCTCTGCAGCACTGCAGTAGTTGTGTACTAGTGCCAAAGTCAAGAAACGTTCACAGAAATGTGGAGCTTCACCCTACCAACAATGTTTGTTTGAAGCAAAGCTACAACGTATTCGTACCTGAATACACTCTAGTACTCTGTCGGCTTCGTTCAGTTGGGATTTAACTAGGACGAATTAAGGGTCTTCTTTTGAGACACCAAGCACGTAAGGAGAACATTGAACGCGTATCATAGTGTAGAATTGAGGGTCGAAATTCTGGAATCAGTCGACGCTGGCTTACAAATGCTGGCTCCCGTTTTTTCTTTTCTGGTGACACCTTCAGTTGCGCTGTAGTGGCCGTCCGTTGGCAGAAGAGCTCTTCGACTTGTTTGAAGTTGAGCTTTCGTTCAACGTGCTCTTCCTGGGCTTCCTTTGTGACGTCGCTCCAGATGCTGTTGCCTCCTGCAGCAAGCAAAATGGGTCCTTCGTGCACATAACGCGCAAGTATGCACTGTTTACTGCCAGTGCACGACTTCACCGTAAAAAAAAAAAAAAAAACGTTATGGTAGAAATGGATCTTGAAGAACTTTAAGCACGACCTGTTCAACTATTTCTGTACATCATAATCGAACCAACCAGGTTACCGATTCGGGTTGTTAGTTTTCCTCTACGGGTAGGTTGCAGCATAGCACGACGTTGAGTCAGAAAAAAAAGCTAATTCGAGTGCTAACTTTCAACTATTGCCAGTCTTGTGTCCCTTCGTCATTTACTGACCTTGTTACCTGTTGCGCAATGCTCAGTTTCTTGAAGGATGGGGCAACTTTTCAACTGCAGTGTAGTTTCCAGAAGGGGTGTGGTGGGTGGGGCAGATAGAGTGGTAGAGTGATTTGACGCAAAGATCTACGGAAGGAGCTTGCCCGGCTTAATGCTCACCACAGACAAGGGTATCCGGCACTTTAGTCCAGTTGAAGGTCTTCATCTTCTGCCGAGGTTTAGGCAGCGTGTCGAAAGGCCCAGGAGAGACAGGTCCACGTGGCGCTGCTTGTGATTGGGTCGCCTTGGATGGTGGGATTTTGTTCGCCAGGCCGTCACCATGTGGGCTCTGCATACCTGGCTGTGAAGAAGGTGGAGGTGGTGGGGGTGGTGGGGGTGGCGGTGGGTGGCGGCGGTGGTAGCAGTAGCGGCGGCGGCGGTGGCAGAGGTGGTGGTGGTGGTGGAAGCGGTAGACTGGATGGTCTAGTCGGAGTTGCAAGAGCTGGTGCTACAAAGGGAACGGATATGGGGTATAAATTCCTGGGAAAGGGTTAACGCGAACGTAACATTAACAAAAATACTTATAATTTACGTGATGAAAGCTATTGTGCCTGATGGTGGGCGATGCAAACACTCTAGCATGATGCTTTTTGAGGATGCAAACACTCTTACATGGCATTTTAAATTAGAGTGCAGTAACGTGGCGTGATGAACTGAAACACAGTTGAGATTTTTTTTTGTACTGCAGCGGTGAAAAGCGATGCTCTAATGAGTAATATGCGGATCCGTTCTCTTCGCCAAGGCAAAGCCTTTACTCCGATAGCTATCACATATGACATACGCGTTGCCTTACCGCCACTGGCAGACTGAATTCCCTTTACTCTTTGTGGCTCACTGGCAGCCGGAGACGCCAGTGGTGGCAGAGGTGGTGGTGGAGGTGGGTGTGGTGATGGACCAGATGGTCCAGTGGGAGTCGCAAGAACTGGTGCTACAGAGAGAATAGAAATGTGGTGTAACTTTCATGAAAAAAGTAACGCGAACTTGACATTAACACAAAAACAGAAAATTCACGCTCTGAAAGCTATTGCGCCTGATGGTGGGTGATGAAAACACTCCTGCACGATGCTTTTTGGGGATGCAAACATTCTTGCGTGGCATTACAGATTATACGAATAGTGTGCTCTTGCAATAGCGTAGCGTGACAAGCTGAACCCCACTTGAAAAGTTTCTTTTTGTTTTTGCACTGCAGTGGTCAAAAGCGATGCTCTGTTGATTCATATGCGGATCTCTTTAATTTGCCGAGGCAGTTTCCGTTACACGAATAACTATGACATATGACATGCGCGTCACCTTACCGCCACTGACGGATTGAATTCCCTTTAGTCCCTCTGGTTCACTGCGAGTAGGAGGCGTCTGTGGGTGTCCGATGTCCTTGACGTCCGGACGACGCCGAATCTCCGGCGACGTCTTGCACGCTGCTGCAACGACCGGCAGCTGGCCCTCGGCTGACGATCGGAGTACCGTGGAGCGGGTCAGCTGCGTCGAGCGCGGGGACGAGCGTTGCGTGGTAGAGCGTGGTGGCGATGCTTCGACGCTACGCCTGGTGACACGCGTCGAGTTAGGAGACCTCTTGATGCCGACTACCTCCTGATTCTGATGTACGGGTGATAATTGAGAAGACCTCTGCGACTGAGTAGATTTGGACCGACACGACGTTGACCGCGACAGACCAGACACGCGCGCGTCCGTGTCTCCACGTGTCGGGCTTTTCTTCCAACCCTTTGAAGAGGAAAACGAAGTGCGCAAGCGTTAGCAGGACGTTGAGAATGCTCCCCTAAGCGCCCCCATGGTACTTTCCGAACTTGAGGCACATAATTGGGAAATGTGCACGGAAAGAGCAATGAACACCCGCATAGCTCACATGACTTTTTCGGGACTGCTGTTTTATACCTTTTCAATGCGACAAGGAAAAGGTGGGCTGGCATGTAGACGCATGTAATTACACATGCAAGCAAACCTGTAGACCTAAATTCCCTTTTCCATAGACAAAGGCCTAATGAATCCTGCACAATTTGTCATGACACCGTCGGCAAAGCAATGCAGGTAAATCAAAGTGAGGCAAGAGACAAGCAACCAAAAGCAAGGCAAGGCGAAGCAAGGCTAAAGTGCCTCTACGTACCTGAGTGAATGAATTTGAAAATGTTGAGCCTGTTTTTAGGTGGCGGTGACGGAGACTGGTTGGTGAAGACCCCGGAGTCACCTTCGCTTCCACCGCGGTAGCGTCTGCAGCCGTTGTCCAGCCGATCCATAGCTACCCCTTTCGGAGGCGCCGAGGTCAGCTTGGGTCCCATCGCGTTACACAATGGCAGCGCGGGTCCTGAGCTCAGCTGCTGGGACAGCCGCTCCAGCAGTTCCCAGGCAAGGCGGCTGCGATGGCGAGGGCTGCGGCCAGCTGCCCAGGGCCACGCACGGCGCGCCATCTCAGCGACCGTGCCACCCACACAAGTCGCGTATGCGCTGCACTATGCTTTGCT